ATCTGTCTCTCCCCTGTTATCCTAGCGTTGTAAGGGACATTTGGGGATAAGAATACACCAGAGTCACAAAGAAACAAAATACCTAAAGACATTTTCTCAGGGAACTAGCTAAGCTAGTAGCAAATATTACTACCCCAAGCTGTCCTTCATCACTCATGTCCTGGTGGTTATTGTACTCAGGAGCTCCATCAGCAGCAGAGAGGCAGTGTGTGCTCCCTGCTCTGCCTTGGTGCCACGCCAGCAGGTTAGCTCTAACTGCCTTTATTGTGCTCTGCCTCAAAGCTTCAAGCCACATCGAAGGCAACACAGTGTCCTGTTGAATAGTAAAACTCTGGGACAGTACTTCACCCACAAGTTGAGCTTTGTCTTGCTGGACACACCTTTCTCTCTGTTCGGAAACCATGCTGCAGCATCCCCAGGCTGCCCATAGCAACAAGAGATCCTCCTGATACTATTTAATGTATTGACTCTCCCGTTTCATCTCTTTCCTTCCTGAAAATTGATGAAGCAGCATCCTGCAGGCGTTAAAGAGAAAAAAGGAAAGAACTGTAGACGTGTCAATTCTCCATTCCAGGAGCATGAGTAAGGTTTCTGTAAAGATTTTGTTTTATTATGAATGAGATGCGTCTTGTGTCATTTTAGAGGGCTGGGGACTAGATGCCTGTGACTAAGCCAGTCATTTGAATGTTTCATCTAGTCAGTGGTAGGAAACAGGCACTTCGAGGTCATGACTGATTGCACCTGGTTTAGATGCCTACCATAGCCAGAGAAGATTCACAACCTGGGAGTATTTATTCCTGCCCACTTGCTATGGAGAGCCCTGATAAGTAGCTCAGAGCCGGAATCCTGCACTTAAACATCTAAAATTGCAGTGGAGTTGTGTTCTTCCTGGCTTTTGGGTGCATCTGCCCTATTTTTGGGTCCCTGCTCAACAGAGCACCAGGGCACATGCTGCCTCCAGGCTTCGCTGCAGGGAGGTGGCATTGACCACCCGAGTGTCAGGCTAAAGTAGCTCCTCAGTGTACTTTTTAAAAGATATTTACTAGGAATAGCAAATAATACTCCAGCACCTCCAGCTGTTTGTTACACAGCAAAAAAAAATCAGTGCACATCCATTCAGCTGAACCAGAATAACAGAAGCAGGAATAAGAAAGGGGTTCCTAAAGTTAGCCTTTTAAAGGCCTGTTTAAACACATGCATATGGGTTGGTCCTCATTTCCAAAGGCAGGGGTAGCTGTAGCTGTTTCTGTTACAGTTGCTGCATTTGTCATGTATATTTGGTCTTTTTTTGCATTGTTAAATTTAACCATATTATGGAAAGGTTCTTACTATAATTTTAGGGGAATTTCTTGGAAAACCTGTGTGCTGTCATCTGTTACCACCAGTGATGGCACACATAAACAAAGGTACGTGGGGAAGAAGGGCGTTTTCTTTATGAAGAGCACCAGAAGTTTTTTAAATGAGGTAGAAAGGAAGGCTTTTCCTGCTGCCTTTAGTTAAACTGGACAATGTATTTGTTTTTTCTGGAACAAATCTTCCACATTTCACCTAGAAAGGGGGAAAAGTCTTAGCTTTAGCTCCTGCATAAATATTTGCACAATGTTAATTCTCAAGTTTGTGTGTGATCATCTTTAATTGCTTTAAATGACCATAATAAAGAAAAGAACCACTGCATTTTGTACAAGAAGAACTGCATGCAATTACGTATGGAGACTGAAGTAGTGGCTTAAATGTGCAAAGTTGGTTGAAATACGGAAGGAATGGATTTGGCTCAGCAAGTTTGAGATGAAACAGAGCTGTTTCTGGGAAGCCATTACAAGTGTCAGTCTGGAAACTGGCTATCTCTGCACCTGCTAAAGAATTGCATTAGTACCAGTTTCCATTGAGTGATCTTTTGGCTGTAAGAATAAGAGCAGCACAAATTTGGGTTTCAGAAGACCCTACTAATGGCAAAGTAGGAGAGGGTGAAGCTGTGTCGACTTCAAGAAGATAAAAAGTGATAAAGCAGCTGGCAGAGGGTCCAATCTGTGTTCACAGGGTTTGAAAGCTGGGCTTATGCAAAAGTAAGGGTCATGGACTGATGTGAAAACTAAGACTGCCTGCTTGAAGCTTCTGGCAGCTGCCCCAAGAGCCTTCATTCTCTACCTGCTTTCAGACTTCGCTGCAGCACTTGCCCAAGAGAGGTGCGTTCCTAGAGAGGGCTTGGTGAGGAGGCACCCAGAACTTCACAAACTGAGCTAGAAAAGCACAGCTGATAATGGTAAAAAAGCTGTTGCACATCGTGCATTTCTTCAGCAGCTGAGCTGCACAAGAGCAGTTGCATCAACCCATTAAGCAACAACCTTGCTTGCTTGGATGAGGTGTTATATGTGGTTTTTACCCTGCTCGCTTCTTACTCTCCTCTCTTAAGGCTAGGTTTTAAGACTGTTTATTTGCATGGAGTAGGTGGTTATGAGTGTTTTCTAGACTGTGACTCTTTACTTTTACAGAGAATCATTCTAATTCAGCCCTTCATCTGAAGGGGACTCTGAATTTTAGAGACGTCCCTCCCCTAACAGCAAGACAACTTGAAATCCTGTGTCTGAGCAGCTCCAGACTTTCTGGGGTTTGCAAACTTAAGACCTGATATCTGGCCCAGCTTCTTAATGACAATGGAAAATTGCATTTTGAGCCTCAGCCTTCCTGAAGGACAGCCTGTGCCAAACCCGATGAGCTTGAGATAAAAACAAGGATTTGCAGGACGCTGTGTCCCATCTCAGGCAAAGGTCAGCCGGAGTTTTGAGCCGAGTGGGACTGGCCCCTCTAGCTGGAAATCTCTTTATTTGCCTCTGAGCTCCATGGCCACTGGGGTTTGAGACCTACGCAGGTGTGCGGTGGGGAGCGAGCCATTTGTTTTGCTCAGAAGAGGATATCTGTGATGAGGGAAATTACAGATTTTATGTGCTCGCGGTTTTTTTTTGTTTCCTCCTTAAGCGAAAAGGGAACCTTTAGAATGCCAAAATCTTGTCTTAATATTTCACGGAAGTAAGTATTTTATAAACGCGTGTTGCAAATGGCACTATAAATTCTCCACTATGGAAAATTGCTATCTGGTTTGAAACTAGGCAGGATAAATAGAACTATAAAAGGTTACCTGGAGTAAACAGATAGGGTTTCCAAAATATACCACATGAGATAGATTGGAGCTCATAATAATCTGTTTTCCATGCTTAACATACGCTGAGCATCAGCTGAACTCTGTAACTGAGCTGCCATCTGTATCAATCCCGTTCCTAGATGTCACGGCCGTGTTAATGAAATCTGGAAGTGAAATTGTAAATGGATTCAGTGAATGGTAGATGTCAGCTATTGCGTGATGGGCAATCATCAATCACGCACTGTCAGTTATTTCTGTCTCAGTGAGTAAGCCTTTATTTAAAGCATAAAGTAAGAATGTTGCCAGACCACAGGAACAAGCCCTGAGCTGTTTGCAGGTGCTGCTATTCACAGCTGCCAATTAAACCCCTGACATTTCCATAATGGCCAAGAGGCAAAGCATATGCACTTGATATAACCATTTTTGTAAAAATTAATCTCAGTTTATCAATACTTCACTTTATTTTATTTTTTTTTCCAGGGCGATGTACAGCTTCCTACTTGGCCTATTGTTTGTTTGCTGTAGAAAGGGTGAAATACAAGTTGGAGAGCAGCCAGGGCGTTTATTTCCTCAGGACATACAGTAGATTCCAGTGGCTTGTTTCAACCCTTAATTGGGGAGGGAAAGCACAGTAGTGAGGAATCCCACCTTTGGAAAATGGTGTGTTTGTGCCCCTTGCCCCCAGCCATGTGCACGTGCTCAGCTCCGAATCTTCACATCCCATGTTGGCCCTTAGCTCAGTAAAAATGTGATGCTTGTTCTGGCAAATGCTGTTCCTGACGTTACCCAGCCCGTTGTGGTTCTTTGCTGCTGTACCAACATTTTGCCCTGCCTGGATTTTTACACAGCTCTCTGGGTGTGTTGCTTCTGGCTGGTCCTTTTCATTACCCCTCCGCTCTCTGAAAGAAGAATAATCCAAACCACCAAAACCTAAAGAAGCGAGCACTTTTTAATATGCACATTATTTTCTTTTGGACAGGAGACAAAAAATAATTGTCAACTCAACTTATTAAAGGCATTCATCAGTACCACAAAATTTATATCTGTATTTCATAAAGCTGCCAGTGATGGGCTCACTTTTATTTTATTATTTTCTGTCAGCGAAAATATTTTCATGGAATAAATAAATAAATATATATACCTACAGAAAAAATAAACTGCCCGCTATTGCCACCTGACATTTATAGTTCGGAGGACATAAAACTTTTCAGAGGTCCCTTTATTTTTTGCTCTCAGCTGTTTATAGTTCTTCAGGGGTACACTCATCTGTAAGTAAATACTGAAAAAGAAAGGGCCGCATTCACGTTTCCAAGGAGGTTTCATCACAGGCTGATTGCTCTCCCCCACTTTGCTGCAGTCTACACAAGGCAGAGTACTGAGTGGGGAACTGGATATAGCACTAGGGCATTTTAAAGTTGGTTCCTTCACTCTTCATGGTACCAAGAAAGAGCACATAAATCAGCCAGCGATTTGAAGTGTTTTTCATATGTTGCATTATCTGGTTGTAAAATTATGCAGTATTGCATGAAATTGATTTCTGAAACCTATAGAATTCTGTTAACATGATATATCTGCAGTTGGTGTTAGAGGTCATGCTGGTATGTGTGCATTAAATTGGATGTGATTTTTTGCCAGGTAGCAGTGCTGGTCTAAGTGCTAATTGTCAGATGCAGATATACTGGTGCAGCTTTTATTGGCATAGCTAATTTGACTTCACCTACCTGAAATAAGCCATACTGCCTTAAGCACTTCCCTGGAAGTGGAAGTGTAGTTACACTGAGCAGTTTCCTACCTATCAATGTATCTAAAATTGTTAAGGATAGATTGATATTTGCTCAATTTTCTGTTTCTTTTGTCCATGTAGGTGCCTTGTGAAGTTCCATGTCTCTTCAGATTTCAGGGATAGATGTTGCTTCAGATACCCATGACCTGTTTTGAACCCAGCTAATTCAGGTAATTTTCTAACATGTTTCTTAAGTCTTTTAATGCATTTTTTTTCATTCAAAACCATTCAAAGTGTTTGAGATCCACAAAGATGTAGTCTTTAGATGTTAAAAAAGAATGTTAAAATCTAAATAATGTTCAATCTCTTTAGAACTTGAAGGATCAAACTGGCTGACTTACTGAGGGTAGGTCAACTAATCCCACATATATCACCTGTTTATTTTAAACAGAAAGTGTTACAAAAGGCTGGCTTAAAAAAACTTAAAAAGCAAAAAGGCTCAACATCAAATGATGATAGTAGCCTATCTTTGTGGCTGTAAAGTGATTTCTTGGGTTCAGGATGACCCAGTATTCATTATCACCCAAGATGACCATCTAATTTGTGTACATTCCTGTAAGCAGAAATAACTGCTGAATTCAGTGAGGTCTTTCTGCATTGCTGTCACCTCTGACTTGGCCTCTCTGTGCCGAGCAAAGGTAAAAGGTAACTAACCCCCATTATCAGTTCCTGTGCTCTTATTATAGCAATACTAACAATATCGCTCTGAGTATGTCCACATGACAATGCCCAAGCTAGCTGTAAATGAACCATTGTGGATACCGGACGCACTCAAGATGAGACAGCAGAGAACACCAAGAGGACTAATTTACCCTGCTTTTTGGCGGTGTTAGCTCCATATGGGCTAATTTATCCTGCCGGGAAGCAGGCTCATTTATGGCTAGCTCATTTACAGCTAGTCTGAGTACCTCTTCACTCTACTGGAATTTGCAATATAGACGTGCTTTCTGTTAAGGTGACAAATGTGTGATTGTATTATGTAAAAATATGGAGGTTGGGATTTTGAAGGCACCTAAGGGCTTCTTTTGAAAGTAAGAGGCTACCACCTCCAGCGATCGGCTTTGCAGCTTCTCTTGAAGATGACTTTCCCCATGAATCGGCACGTGGCATCACATGCCCACCAAACAGCCTCTTGAGTTTATGGCACAATATTTTAGTTTAACTCACCAAAGAGGATGTGCTTGTAGTAAGACAGTAAATGATGAACTGAATCAGAGCAGGTGTTATCTGTTGATATGGCAGAAGCAGGCAGACAGCTTGGGTGACAATGTTCCATATTGCTCATTTTACAGAGCCTAAGGAGAACTGAGTTCCAGGTCTTATGGAAATGTGTTTCTGCTTTAGAATGCAGTAGGGGTTGGATACCTCATTCTCCTCAAATCCTTTCAAAAGAAGTCATCAGCATTATTTGTCTTTTTAGGGTCGTGCAGATCCAAATGCCACTATCTGCTCAGCTACTCTGAAGTCTGATCCAGCTAAAGAAACTAAAACAAACCAGCATGACACCAGTGAGATTTCTCAGGTGCTTAAAGCTAAACACATTTTAAAATTAAGATTTATTTGTTCAAGCTTTACCTGCATTTACTTCAGGGTAGTTAATACACGTTAACACTTCTGGTGCAAAGGGAGACAAGCATGCAGAGAAGGGTTTGACATTCAAGAAAGCAGACGAGTACCAGCAGCCATTCTTGTACCGCTGCAGTCACGTACGATGAGCTCCAGGCTTGTCTCTTGCTTCCCTGCTTCTGGGGCTGCCCAGCTATGATCTAGTATGCTGACCTTACTAGCCAAGTAATGACTTTCATGCTGCTGAATCCCATCAGGAACTTCATGTCTCTTGTGGTCGTCTTCATCCATGGCTAACTTGTATTATCATTGGCACGCTTAAAATTGTGATGTTATGTTTCAGATGTTTTCAAAGCTGAAATACACAAGCTCTTTTATTTCTCTTCTGCCTAGTAGGATTATTTCAGCTCCACACATGCAAAACCTCATATTATGCAAGAAATTAATCATATCAGGGTAAAGTAGCTACTGAAAAATTGCCAAGCACCATAAACATTGGTCAAAATGCAGGCCAACCATTTGCACAGCAAGTAATTGAAGCTAGAGGTTCATTGGAGCGACACGTAACTTTTCATGATGAATTAGAAAGCTTTTCAAATATAAAATGATATCTGAGAAGACTGCACTACCTAAAAGGTTTCAGTAAACACTCAAAAAAAAAAGTGTTAAAATATGCTGGAGAGATCAATCATGCTTTATGGTTACTTGCTCCATGTAGTTTCACACACATTCTTTGATAAACAATGTCCCACACTCTCTGCCCAGACCCATTATTTTCTTCAGCACCAAAGCGTCAAGGGCCAGATCCTCATTTGGGTTAAGTCAGCAGAGCTCTGCTGAGGTTGACTGCTTGCCATTGATTTATGCCAGCTGAAGATCTGGCCTGAAGAGTGACAAAAATATAATTTTATGTTTTATTTATGGGTGTAAAACAATAGTCCTAAAGGGAGCAGATGTTCCGTGTCGAGGGAGGAGGTTTATGAAATGCAATTCCAGACACAAAAGCTAATCTCTGTGGTCAGGGAAGGCATGAGGCCTGTTTTACATGATGAACTTTAATTGAAATCTTGCTCTTTTGTGTTCATTTATTTCTTCTGTTTGGGAGCCAACAAGCATCGTTTAAATGACTTCCCATCCGCCAGACACCTTAAAAAAGCAATAGGTAGTTGTCTGAGACACCTAGAGAAGGATGGACAATCTTCATTTGTCTTCCCAGTACTTGCTGAAATGGTATTAATTTGGTATCACATATTTTCAATTAAGTGGTCACTTCACTGAAGAAATTTCCATCTGTTTCAGATGGAGCTGTGGGGAGAAAGATCGTTCAGTTTTATGGAGGGTTTTGCAATTGTAAAATGGTTGAGTTTTTCTAATTTGAATGAAAACCAAAGCGTTTTGAAATTCTCTCAAAAGGAGAAGGGAGTGTCTGTCTCTAAGTCTCAGGCCCCAGACCACTTATTGTCCCCAGTGCCGAAACTATTCCCTTTGTGGACCATCTTCCTTCTGTAGGTCCTAGAGCAGGACGCCCTTGGCTTCTCTAAAGCGGCTGCCAAAAATTGAAGCTAGGGAGCTGAAAGAAAATCAGTTGTAACAGCCTGCTTGCAGGAATGTCATGGGTTTGAGGCACTCTTCATCATGTTTTCTTTCAACAAGCTGGTATTTTTGACTCCTGTGCCACTGCATCCACCCTAAAAAGGAGAGAACATTCAGTGATATGCCTTCTCCTTGGCTTTATATGGCACAGAAATGTACCATAGCGAGTTCTGAGTTCTTCACAGGAGCAAAGCAATAGTCAGCTGAGCTGTGCTGATTCATATCAGATGAATTTTGGACCAAAAAGTGTAAGGATGAGATTTTCTCCTTGACCTTCTGTGTCACTCTCCACACCCTCGTGGTCAAACGGGGTACATGGAGAGCTGGAGAACAAGCTGTGCTTATCAGAGGCCAACAGCGACATCTAAATTGCAGCTTTGGAAAAATAGGGCAAGTGGAGCAAAATCTGAAGTATTCCCGTATTCTATTCCCGTATCTGTTCTGTAAAAGAGAGAAACAGAAACACAGCTTGAGGAAAGCTGTTTATGAAGAACAGAAGGGAGCAGGAGCTAACTCTCCTATCTCAATTTAGCTGGAAACCCCCCCATTTAAAGTGTGATTTTGTCCTGAAGCAGGCTGAGCATAAGAAGTTTGAAATTCTCTGTGAAAACCCAAATTAGAAAAAGAAACCTAAGGCTAAACTGGGGATGGAATGCAGGGACCACTGAGACACTTCATTCATGTTTCAGCATAATTTTTGTTAATCCACTTTAGAAATCTGGTGCATCTTCATTGTAACACTTTTCAACACAAACAGCAGCAGCAACCACAACTTTCCATTCTAAAAACATCAAAGTGGGAACTTCCAAGGTTATAAAAATGCTTCATTTTTGTTAGCCTCCACGGGTAAGAAGTTAGTGGAAGAAGTTTTGCAGAACAGCTTTATTCGGTTAGACATGGCATTTGTTCCCTTTCAAAGCCACTCTGCACAACATTTCCAGCTGCACATTTCCAAGGGTGACTCACATCACATAATGGGAGATGTCCATGGGAGATGCCTTCACAGCCACACCAGCCTTTCTAGACCCCTGCAGGGGTCTCCTAGTAGAGAAACACACACTTTAGGACACAGTCAGAGCTGTTTTAAACCTCTGCTTTAGGATGATATAATTAGGCCCTGCAGTTGTCTTCCCTCCCCACTCCTCCATCAGCTGAAAGGTAGTCCAGGGTGACTAACACCAAGGATCAAATGAATCCCACCCAAATATTCTCATCCATAGGGATAGCTGCTGTAGCATGCTATGGTAAGGTAGTTCATATCTCTAGACATCATATGAAGGTGAGTGAGAGAAAGAAGGTTTATGTATTGAAGTCACGGAAGAGTAATAAAATACTCAAAGAATTGGAAGGGCTTAGTTAGAAGGAAGTATGAAAGCACCTCAATAAGAACAAATGCAAAGTGCAGGAGAAATATGTTACATGCTTAATTATCACTTGAAATGGGGAGACACAATGGAAGGAGAATCAGAATTAAGGCTTTCCAGAGGAATGAAGTAAAGAGGGTGGGTTCTGATAAAGGGGAGAGGGAGGATAATTTTCTTGTCAGATGATGTGTTTAGTCTAGGGAGTAGTTTTCAAGAGAAGCAGTAGCCTCAGAGTTTGAGTCATTTCTTACCAGAGCTTGGAAATGGACAATAGAGATCGCTCCTGTCTAGGCAGGGAATGAAAAAATAGGGTCTACTGATCTCATCCAGCCCTCACTTCATTCAGCAGGAATCTTTTCCACTGACTCAAGCAGGATTTGGATCAGACCCTTTTTTACCTCCTAGGTTGATGGCTGTTTGAAAAGACTTTAGGAAAAGACACAAACTAGAGCCCAAGTATGACACCAAGAATGGCTTTTTTGGGCTGCTATGAGGAAAAATGCAAGTCTCAGAAAATTATGAAGCAGGCGGCTGGCAAACTGGAGGGGCAGTTTTACAGCTGGGAGCTGAGTCAAACTGTAAAGCATCTTTACGGACTTAAATGACATTGAGCTGGGGTGTCACTAATTCCCTTAAAGCTGTAAGGAAACACTTCTCCAACAGCAGCTATAAGGGCAGCGTCATCGCTTGGCAAGTTTTGCTTTTGCCACAGCAGGGGGGTAGCTCTGCATATCCAGCTCCATTTTATTTATATGCCCAGTATTTGAGAGAGGTTTTGTTGTGGATAACAAAACATAGCTACATTTTATATCTGATTCAAAAGAAAACAATAATAATAGTAGTGGGGTAACATTTTTGTATATGCCCGAGTGAGTCCCTTTGCCTGTTTTCAACCTACCTAATGGCAAAGCTCACTTCATTCTACGCTGCTCTAATTAATTTGACAGGACTGGAAACTTGCTCTTCCTGTTCACACTTATTATTCATCTCTTCAGAATGCCCTGTAGGGAGTACGAGCACAATAAAGCAGTATTTACCAAATCCCTCAATGCTAAATACACCTTTTAAGCTGACTCTGCACAATGCCAGCAGTGAGAAGATCTGACTAAAGGGCGGCCAAAGAAAAACAACATTTTCCAGAGCATCGTCTCTTTACACATGACTAGAAAGTCTTAGGCAAGGAAACTATGTCTTTTTGCCCCCCTTCAAATTCTACAGTAGGCTCCGGGGATCCCAGTTTATTCCTACTGTATCTGAAAGCTTTACTGTAGCCAAAGCAAATGACAGAGTGATCATACTCAATAAGATACGATGTTAGTTCACAAGAGTCATTGGGTAATTTCATACAGGCATATCTTTTAACCTTTCATCACCCAAATTAGAAACATCATAACACAACATAAAACACATCTGAAAAATCCATCGGAGACAGGAACTCAGAAACGTGCAAGTAGAAATAAGCGTTTTGAGAATTAGAAAGTGTTTTGAGAAAACACTGAAATTGAATGTTAGGTTTCCTTCTTTAAAATTCTCATTGCAGAAAGGGACCTTTTACAAACACACGAGGTGATTAAGGAATTTCGAAAGTGGAGCACGCTGATTTGCACACACTGGGGAAGCAACTCAGACATTTCATATTTTAAAAGTGAAAGATCAGTGAAAGAGATTTTCAGCAGCAAGTTACCAGTTGGGTCTTCAGCTCTAATCACCAGCTCCCTTTGCACCTTTTGTGCCTCCCTAAATCTCACCTTACATGAAGCTAACAGTTAAGTTTTCAAAGTACCCCAGAAAACTTCTGCGCGGCATGTGCAAATATACCCCCATCAGCCCTAAATGAACTAACTCAAATACCAAAACGGGATAGAATCACAGTAGTAGGGCAGTTTTACCCAGCTTTTTGCTCTTAACCTCCAAATGTTGCTTTGTGTGGCTTTCAGCCAGAGTCAGATGCCACAATATGCAAGTCACTCTTGAAAATGGGGACTTACAGCCAATTTTC